GGTACCACGCATGACCAAGGACTGGATTTGATCTCATTGAGACTAATGTGGACGACAAACACCCTCTTAATGTTACAGTCTTCTAGCATCTCAGATCCTCGAGTTATGAACTTACCTGAAAGAAATTTTGGCGGGCCCGTACACAGGCACCACGCTTACCCGGGAGTTGGTTTTGACCTCATTAGTACCTACTTGGACGGGGAACATTCCTTTAAAATTCCAGCTTTCTAGCTTTTCTGATGCGCGAATTAGCAGCTTACCCGTAAAAAAATTTTGGCGGACCCGTACCGCGCTTACCCGGGTACCACGTTTACCCGGGGGTTGGGTTTGAGCTCATTAGTGCCTGCTTAGACGGGGAACATTCCCTTAAAATTTCAGCTCTCTAGCTTTTCTGGTTCGCGAGTGATCAACTTACCCGAGAAAAATTTTGGCGGGCTCTTACGTGTGTGCCACACGGATAAGACTGCCAATTTCAGGGATGGGAGCCCGTACGTGCATGTAGATTAAGTCCTCAAAGTTTCAGCCCTGTAGCTTTTGTAGGTCTCGAGATGAAAAATCGTTACAGAGGCCCAGCGCGCGCGCACACACACGGACACACAGACAACCTCTCGTCAATATGCGTTTTCCGCATTCCATAGCTGCAAAAAACGCATAATAAGACGGCATTCTCCAAAGAAACTATAATCCGAAAGCTCCAATTTTGAGGCACATGTACTTAACCAGGTCTATCAGTTGGCAGTCATCTCGCGACAGCGAAAGAGTACGGTTTTCCTGTCCACGTAAGTTCAGCCAGCCCACTGTTTTAGCACAAAGGACCCAAGCACTGGGCAACAGGCACGCTGTCCCACTGTGACGTCATTCTGATATTGCCTATACCCATGCGAAAGCATTACTGAGAAAGCTAAACCGGTTTCAGGTAGCATTCGTCCAGAGGTAGTGGGTAGGGAAAATTTTGCCGGCGAACTCGCTAACTGAGGCACACTTGCGCCACTGGCACGACCAGACTCATCTTCCGCCTCTACTCTTTCTGGGCTTTTTAGAAATGGCCAGCTACAAATCTACTTCTGCCGAACGCCCACCCCGCACAAACATACATCCGCGTCGGCTTATCCTACCAGCATTCGCTAGAAACCCATAAGTAAAAGTGCTGCTGTGCACCGGTTTTACCCATCGTAGCGCGTACCGTGCCTCGCATTTGTTTTAACTCCCATCAGCCAATTCGTTTATCCGAACTGCAAAGTCCTGCCACGCCTATCGACCCGATTGTTACAGTGCAGCATCATTTCCAGTGGGACGGCCGTAGGCGTGCAGGGTACGATGAGTGGGGCGTTGTCATAGACGCTGATCCTCGCGTGGGGCGGTTCCTTTCCTTTAGAAATTGACAGATTAGTTGAAGGGCACAGGACAAACCCCTTGATTATTTCCACTTAAAAACAGTGATTTTTTCCGCCCCAAGTTTTCCCGAGTATGGCTGGAAATTGAGAAAATGCTCTTGCTAACTAAGCTGTTGCACTGCGGCAGTCACTGAACGCTGAAATCAACTTCGTGCTCGAACTTGACATTCGCAAAGAGTGATTTAGCACGGGTTTGCGTTGCAAGACGATTTTCGTGTAAGTGGTAATTATAGAATTATAATGTGACTGGAGCAGCAATATGACAGTTATGTGTATTGCTCACATGTATGGTGCACTTGTGCAGTTTTTGAATTTATAGCGCACCTGTATGGTGTTTTAATGTGCCCTTACCCAGTAGAGTGTCTCTGACCAACAGTAATAGCCAGAAAACGTTTAACATTACAGAAAAAACTAAATCGAAATACAGTCCGCACATGAAGACATCATAGAAACTGTCGTTTTAACCCGAGAAAACATCACATAACATAGAATTTACACATATCAGAAAGAAACGGAGCACATTCATTTCAGGCCATCCTGTTAAGATTACAACATTTGTCACATGATGCAGAGCCCAATTTTAAGATTTCTTTTCCCCTGGCACACTCAGGAATTGGACTGAAAAAGCAGGAGCCAACGCATGCATCCGAATTTCTTACTAATATTCTATGAACAGTTTCTTGGAAAGAACAGTAAAGTGCAGTAGAAAGTAAGAATAGCTTCTAGTGGCAAGACTGACAAAAAAAAATTTGGGAAAAATGAAAACTGCCGGAATAAAAATTTTTACACACATGGGGATAAAGAAACAAACTTGAAACTACAAAAATGAGCAAGATTTACTTAACATACA